GAGCAGAGTAGTTTTCTGCTTTCACCATATTTCTATCAAGGCTTTATTTGCCAAGCAAGGGAGGAGCAGAAGGGGGAATGGTTTTAAATAACAATAAAAAGAAGGAAAATGAAAAGAGAAAGAAAGAGAACGAGAACAAGGACAGGCAGTCAAAATGATACTTGGCCAGTGTGCCACACTTAAGTGTATCTTTGTTGTTGTTTTTTAAAAGTTGGGTGTGAAAAATAAGAAAAAAGAAGCAGACCACATAAGTATTTTCAGGTAAAATAATGAAACGCAACAGGAAGAAGTAAGCAATCTTGATTCTGGTCTGTGTGCTTTCTCTATTAAATAATTTTTTTTTCTAATTCCTGATAGGATTTTCAAGGGCTGAAAAATGTCTGATTTCTGGGCATGCAGAGAAAGACTACAGAGGCATCAATTAACAGTGGTTGAGGCCACCAGAAGAACAAAAACCAGAACTTTGTATCTCCCTCAACACTTGAAGTGGTAAAAGAGGAGGGGGGGGGAAAGAGGGAGGAGGGGAGGGGGAGGAGGAGGAAGAAGAGGAAAGGGAGGAGGAGGAGGAGGAAGAGAGAATAGTAGTAGTAGTAGTAGTAGTAGTAGGAGTAGGAGGAGGAGGAGGAGGAGGAGGAGGAGGAGGAGGAGGAGGAGGAGGAGGACTGGGACCACTGTGAAAGATTTTGTGTTTCCCCAATACACACTCCTATCTATGAATGCTAGGAGTAGAATCCTCCACTGGAATCAGCCTGAAATGAGGAGACGGGCACACCAAATAAATCATGGAGTTTGCACTGCTATAAAACAATGGCAAGAAAGAGTGTCTGCAGAAAAGAGTGAACTCCAGTGTGAATTCATACCATGATCGCCTTCTTCCCTCTGGAGTGGAGCCAAGAAATGGGGGCCACAGAATGAACCCCAGATGTAAAGGCTGGTGCAGAAAGCAAATGTTTCCCTATCCAGATCCACTTGGGAAAGGGGGCAAGGACAGAATCTTACCCAAACAGGAAACGCTAAATCAAAGTTTATCTCCCCTGGGTGAGTATTCTTCAACCCCACCCCTATTCTCCCTCATCCCACCCCACAGGAAACCCCCTCCCCCTCCCCATCCTCTCCAACTCAGACTTTATGCTGCTGTCAGCAAAGAGAAAGAGGAGGAACGTCCAGATTCTACAGACAAGAGTTCTTCCTCCCTTTAAAATTCTTATTTGAGAAGCAGAGAAGGGATTGTCCCACTTAGCAAACTTCATCCCCATCCAATAAGGATAACAATTTTAAAAAATCATTTTGCATCTAAACTTTTTTTTTGCATCTCTCCTATTTAGCTGTCTCTATCATGGTATAAAAGCACAATCCTCACTGGGGAAATGTGAAAACGGATCAAGTAAGGGCATTCACACCTAGGGAGAAAATAAGATGATGCACCAAATTGGAGCCATAGAATAGTGTCGGAAGACAGGTGGAAAAGAACATAGAAAATAGAATAATAGGGTTGGAAGGGACTTTGGAGATGTTCTAGTCCACCCCCCCCCCCGTTCAAGCAGGAGACCCTATACCATTTCAGAGAAATGACTGTCCAGTCTCTTCTTGAAAACCTCCAGGGATGGAGCATCCACAATTCTGGAGGCAGGTTGTTCCGCTGATTAATTGTTCTCACAGGAAATTCCTCCTTAGTTCTAAGTTGTTTCTCTCCTTGACCAGTTTCTATCCATTGCTTCTTGTCCTGCCTTCAGGCGCTTTGGAGAATAGCTTGACTTCTCTGTGACAACCCCTCAAATATTGGAAGACTGCTATCATGTCACCCCTAGTCCTTCTCTTTGTTAGACTAGACATATCTAGTTAAGAGTAAGGGGCTTCCTGCCCCCAAACAGAAGAGAGAAATTGGGAGGAGAAAAAGCATAAATATGGAATGCAAGAGTGCGCATCAACTAACTGGCAAGATTTTCATGGCCTTGCATTATCAATTTTATGGACAGTACCGCTTTTATACATAGTATGCTTTATTCTGACAAGAAAAAAAATGAATTCTAGAAAAACAACGGAAGAGGGTAGAATTCTATTGTCTCAAAATCTTAACTTTAATCTATAAATTACTACAGGTAGTCCCTGACTTACGGCCAGAATTGTGACCAGAATTTAAGGCGGTTGTTAAGTGAGCCACACCCAATTTTACAACCCTTTTTTGCTAAGACTATTAAGCAAATCACCGCAGTTATTACATAAACCATGCAGACGTTAAGCAAATTCAGCTTCTCCCATTGGCTTTGCTTGTCGGAAGCCCGCAAATAGAGATTGGTGACCTTGGGACACTACCACCATCATAAATATATGCCGGTTACCCAACTTTTGATCACGTGACCATGGGAATGCTGCAAGGATTCTAAGTGCGAGGATAGGCCGTAAGTAACTTTGTTTTCATTCCGTACTTATCTTCCAATGGTCGCTAAATAAATAGTTAGAAGTCGAGGACGATGATTAGGGATACAACTCAGAAAAAGGTTTGGTGATGCACAATGGGGAGCCAAAAGGTCTGCTGGAAAACAGCTCTCAGTCGTAATTGAGTAGAAGAACAAAGCGGGCAGTCCAAAGGCCAGCTTTGTGCCCTTATCTCTGTGTCCCCAGACAGAATACTGACTATACAATAACACCCTAAACCAGAGGTCCCCAACCTTTTGGGCACCAGGGACTGGTTGCATGGAGAAAGGTTTTTTCGTGGACCGGAGGAGGTGTGGTTTCATGTGCTGCCTGCATCTCGTGGCTGGGGCTTTGCTTGTTTGTGTGGACCGGTTGCTGGCATGCTGTGGCTCAGTACCGATCCACAGACCGGGGGTTGGGGATCCCTGCCCTAAATAGACAGAATATCATTATGTTCATAAGAGAGTTATATCTGTGTAACTTCATGAGAGCAAGGGATCCAGTTGTGGCAGGACGTCACAAACTCGGGGACTGCAACTGCTTATACAGGTAGTCCGCAAATTACAACAGTTTATTTAGTGACTGAAGTTATAATGGCACTGAAAAAAGTGATTTCTGATCACAACATCGTCTTTCTCACAGCCATTGCAGCATCCCCATGGTCACGTGATCAAAATTCAGATGTCTGGCCACTGGTTCCTATTTATGACGGTTGCAGCGTCCCAGAGTTACGTGATCACCTTTTGTGACCTTCTGATAAGTAAAGTCAATGGGGAAGCCAGATTCACTTAACAAATGTGCTACTAACAACTGTTGATTCACTGAACAGCTGTTGCAAAATGTTGTCACTTAACAACAGTCTCACTTAGTAACAGAAATTTGGGGATCAATTGTGGTCGTAAGTCAAGGACTATCTGTAGAAGACACAAAACAGACAGGTGGAAATTGTTAGTTCAGTTTAATATTATATCCCGTTTTCCTTCCTAAAAGAAAATAACCGAAAGAACTTGCATTGAAAGGAGGTGTAACACAACAGTGCAACAATAAAAAATGATTCCATTACAAGCCTTTGATTTGCTTTGGAGTGAGAAAGTAGTTATTCATATCTTAATGGAATACATTCTCTTATTCCAGCCTTTTGTTTACAAGCATGGGCACGTAAATTCACAGGCAATATTAGAAGGGGTTTTTCAAAGCTCCTTTCTCTAAATACCAGACTTTGGGGTATGTTGGTATGTACCCCCATCGTCAGAAAAGTTCAGGTGTTCTACTGCTCAGCTTTGTCGCAAAATTTGTAATTGAAACAAAGGTACAATGTGCAAAATATCATACACGTGCGGACTGCCAGAATGATGCAAAGTATGGTTACAGAAATATAGATATACCCCAAAATCTGACCCAGCTAGATCAATATTTAAACTGAAATGATTATAATATCCTGTACAGCAGTGTTTCCCAATCTTGAAAACTTTAAGATTTGTGGACTTCAGCTCCCAGAATTCCCCAGCCAGCCATGCTGGTTAAGGAATTCTAGGAGTTGAAGTCCACATATCTTAAAGTTACTGAGGTTGAGAAACACTTCTTTATAATCTGTATTCAGGATCTTGGCTTCCACCTAGCAGTGTTCCAATATCTCAGGGGTTGCCACAAAGAAGAGGGAGTCAAGCTATTCTCCAAAGCACCTGAAGGCAGGACAAGAAGCAATGGATAGAAACTAATCACAAAGAGAGAAACAACCTAGAACTAAGGAGAAACTTCCTGACAGTGAGAACAATTAACCAGTGGAACAACCTGCCTCCAGAAGTGGTGAATGCTCCAACACTGGAAGTTTTTAAAAAGAGACTGGACAGCCATTTGTCTGAAATGGTATAGGCTTTCCTGCCTGAGCAGGGGGTTGGACTAGATGACCTCCAAAGTCCCTTCCAACTTTATTATTATTATGACCTCTTTTTAACACTTGATATAAATGTTGCCTGGCCAGTCTTTGTTTAAACAGGGATCAGATGGACACCTAACAAGTATTTTGCAATAGTAGACTTTCTAGCCTGGTAAAGAGTTGAGGTAGATGATCTTTAAGATGCTCTCCACCTCTCTGATTTTGTCTGCTGTCCTCGGCTTCCACTGTCTATCTCATTATTGCTGAGTTTATTTGTTCCCCTTCTTATCCTGACACCTATATCCTCCCACAGCTCTTTGACATGTCCACACCCAGTTGTGATCCCTTCCTCCCCAATACCACAAGCTTCCTCCCCTTGACTTCAATTGGTCATGGGCTTTTCTGAAATCAAGCAGGCTCTTGCAGTTAAACTGGCCTTGGGCTCTACTTTATACTATACTAGTTAGAAAAAATTGGCACTCTGCCAGCAGCCTTCTCTCTCTCTCTCTCTCTCTCTCTCTCTCTCTCTCTCTCTCTCTCTCTCTCTCTCTCTCTCTCTCTCCCCCCCCCCAGTGGCTCTTAAATGTTCTCTGATATCACTGAAGTTCCACCAATTGGAAAGAGGAGAAGATCATGAACTGCCTTCAGTTCAATAACAGCTGGATTCTTGATCAACTTTGACAGATGGGTAGAGAAAATCGTAACTTACTGAAGACGGGAGTCCTGGAGGCACCTTTCGGACTTTTTTCGGTTGTCCATCTGAATGTGTTGTAGGAGGAGACAAACAAAGAAATAAATAAAAAGGAAGCCAGTTAGAGACAAAGCTTTGGAACAGCAATATATAGCAGGAAGATTTGGATCCAGATTTCAAAACTTATTTTACAGATTGGTTACCTTGATTTTCCTAAGGCCTACCAGAGCTTACAACAACAGTAACAACTTAAATTTAAGAGTTTGTAGAGTATCCTGCTCTTCTAAATGAATGTTGGGAGACAGTTTTTAAAAATCAATCTCAAAATATGCAACTGAAGGTATTTGGAATAACTGCTGGTAAAAGCCACCAGCTTTAAAATAAAACTCAGCTAAAACAGCGTAATGAAATAGCCTTGCATCAACATAAATTTCGGTTCTGTATTTATTTTTCACCTTCTTCCATAAAAGCTGAAGACAGCATATATCTTCCCCCCAATACACGCAGCATCCTTGCAACAATCTTGTACCAGTAGGTTAAAATGAGAAATATCAGCTCATCCTGGGTCACTCAGCAAAGGATTAGACTTCTCTACGTGACTTCAATTCAAAAAATTAACCCAATGCCTGGTAGGACCCTGGTCTACACTGATGGACTTCACAGTCAGAAAGGAAGTAGAAGGTGGAGTCTCCCCCCTCCCCCCACAAAATCAAAAAAATTTGGAACAAACAAAGAAAGAACTTCATCCAAGGAAGTCTATTACAAGTGGTCCTCGAATTACGACCAGTCACTTAGCAACCGTCTGAATTTTTGACAGACCTTGAATATGGGACTTACGACCCAGATTCAAACTCCCAATGTATGCCCCCAACTTGGGGTCATGTAACTGCATTGTGGGTGCTCGCCAATTGGCCCATATTTATGGCCATTTTCAGCATCTCACGGTCACGTGACCACAATTTATGTCACTTAGGCCAGCAACCAGTGTTTATCTCTGGTTTCTGGCCAAAAAGAGCCCGTGTTGTACAATGGGTTCATTTAATGACTGTGGAATTCACTTTACGACTATTGCATTTGCATAACAACCACCACATAAAAGGTCATAAAATTAGATGGGTCGCATGATAGCCCACTTTAAGACCGTTAATGACCTACAACCGAAACTGTGGACTCAATTACAGTTGTAAGTCGAGGTATACCAGTAATGTTAAGCCACAGGTACTGATGGCTTTAAAAAGGGACAAGGCAAACTTATCAAGGAGAAATGGAGTATCTGTCAGAATTCATCAGCCAGGAGCGATAAAGTAAGGCTCAGGTACCAAAGGTGCTTTTTCAAGAGGCAACTGGACTTTCTGTTTTTCTTTGGAGACGTTTTGCTTTTCATCCAAGAAGCTTCTTCAGTTCTTTCCTCAGAACCCAAGAAGCTTCTTGAAAGAGAAACAAAACATCTTCAGGGAAAAACAAAGGAAGTCCAGTTGCTTCTTGAAAAAGCACCTTTGGGACAACCATGATCTGGATGACTGAGAATCTCCACAGACAAGTAAGGCCCATCTTTAACTCTTGGAAGAAAAAATAATAATAACAAGGGCATGATTGCATCTACTCGTCCTTTTCATGTCTGCTTTGACCGTCCTTTACTAAGGACAGAATAACTGGGCTTTCTAAGAGGGCTCTGCTTCTGACTGCTGAGCAATGTTTTGAGATAAAGGCAGCGTGTATTTTTGGCATTCACAGTTTCACACCATTTTGTCTTCCTTTCGTTCTTGTTAATTATATCCCATTATTAGTGAAGCTTGCAGTTCCAGTGACATTTGTTAAATTTTCCGAAGCCATCCGACACCATAATGACTCTCAGCCATGTACAGTATTAAGAACAGCACATTTTAGCCAGCAAAAAGAACAACAGACATCCGGGTACAGCATAAAACTGTAACCCTTGTCTCACATATTCCCAATGAAGAACTGATGTAGTCCCTAACCCAGTGGTGGCGAACCTATGGCACGGGTGCCAGAGGTGGCACTCAGAGCCCTCTCTGTGGGCACACGCGCCGTTGCCCCAGCCCTAGGCTTTCAGCTGGGTTTTATAAAACCTTTTCGTTTTAGGCCTCTGCTGCCATGTGAAAAAAAAAAAAGGTTCAATCTATCAGTCAATTTCAACTTCTCGCAGGAAAAAAAAAGATCTTGCAAAGTTGGAATTGATTGAACTTTTTAGTCCCACCCAGTCTGTCGTTACCACCACAGCCACGCCCACCCAATGGGCCACACCCAGCCAATGGGCCACACCCACCTGGCACCCGAAGAGGCATAAGTGGGTTTTGAGTTGCAGTTTGGGCACTCGGTCTCTAAAACAATGGTTCTCAACCTTTTTAATGCCGCGACCCCCAACCGGTCATAAGTTGAGGACTATTCAACTGATGCAGCACCGTTTGCAGAATGGGACTTTTGGCTGGCTCAGCAGGGCAGAGACAGCCTGGACAATTCCTATTGGCTTTTGAAAGCCAATAGAATTAGACTCTATTCAAGAGAGTCTATTCTATTGGCTTTCAAAAGCCAATAGAATAAAAGGGAGTAGCACAGCTAAGGAAAAGGGGGAAAAAATGGCGGACTGCGTTGTTTGGCGACCCCCGTGAAATGGTCGTTCGACCCCAAATGGGGTCCCGACCCACAGGTTGAGAACCACTGCTCTAAAAGGTTCGCCATCACTGCCCTAACCCATGGACTGGGGGAAGAGCCAGATCTTCAAGACTTGCTTAAACAAGGTCAGGTTTGGGTCATTTGAACCACTGGAGATACTGTGTTGGAGAACAGATGCTGTGATAGAGAAGGTGGGGCCCATTGTAGCACTGTTCAATCAATGGGACTCAAAGATGCCAACTCTACAAGAGACAGATGGCCCCTTAAATATTCATAAAATATGAACTGCCTTTGCACTCATGATATATTCTTTAGGCCCATCTTTCTCTACTCAGCATTTCCCTGAATCTGCTGGACTACACCTTTGTAATTCCCTAAGGAAGATGGCTTTTGTAGTCCAAGGTACCCAAGAGAGTACTGAGCTGGAGAGAATCTCTGAATGATCAGGGAAGGTGCTTTGTTCCTGAGAACATTTTTGACATGCAAATGAGGGGAATGAATTGAATCATTGAAGGAAGGAAGCTCTTTTTTTTTTTCAGGATCTTCATAAATGAAGAGGAAAGAAGAACTGATGCAGGGAAAAAAAGTTGCTAAGGTTTAACTCACATCTGTGAAGCTACTCTCCCCTCTACCCCACGAGGTCAAAAAGAAGGATAAGGGTGAGCATTATGAACTCTTTTAAGGTTTAAAACATAGTTCTCCTTTTGGGGGGTTTTCTTGGAAGTAAGTAAACAGCTCTTTTAAATGAGATATTTTGCAGAAAGAGGGGAAAAGAGAAATATAGGTAGAGCTTGACTTATGACTGGTTGTTTAACAAACGGTTAAAATTATGATGGACTTAACAAAAGATATGTACAATCCATTGTCAAAGTTGTGACTTGTCGTATCCCCCCTCCCCCGCAGTCGTGTGATAATATTTTGGATCTTTGCAACTGGTCCACATTTACAACTGGTTGCAGGGCACTGCAGTCACATGACCACAATGGGCAGGGTTTTTTTTGCTAGTTTCCACTAAAAATGCCCATTTGATTCAACCACATGATTTACTTAATAATCACATTGACTTGCTTTACGACTGTTGTAAAACAGTTGTAAAATCGAGTCTGGTCATGTGGTGCCTCAATTTACAACCGAAATTCTGAGTTCCATTGTGATTGTAAATCGAGGAACACCTGCAGTGGTAGTAGGTTAATTACTAAGTTAACAACTGCAGTAATTTCCTTAACAAGAGGTCGTAAAATGGGGCAAAACCCACTTAACAACCACCTTGCTTAGCAATCAACATTTTGGGCTCAATTGTGGCCATAAGTCAAAGACTACCTGTATACTCTCAAAACAGGGGTCTTCAAACTTGGCCCTTTTATGACTTGTGGACTTCAACTCCCAGAATTCTTCAGCCAGGCATGCTAGTTGAGGAATTCTGGGAGTTGAAGTCCACAAGTCATAAAAGGGCCAAGTTTGAAGACCCCTGCTCTCAAAAGGAGGCAAGCATAAGATTTCAAAGGCCGACTAGCAACCTCCCAAAATGCTGAGGCTGAAACGAAATTTGGACTAGATGTATTATTTTTTAAAATATGCAATGCTCAAATCTAAAGCAGCAAAGGTGGCTCGGGTCTAAAATGGATGCCCTTGTTTATAATGCTCATGGCAGATCTGAAACATCACTCCCTCTATGGGTCAGATTCCTGCACATCTCTATTAATTTTTATTCTTATGGTGATTAAGAAGGCCTTGGTAAGCCCTGAGTGTTTTATCCTACCAATCCATCCTTCTCTTCATCCCTTGCTAATATGGCCTTGCACTCTGCTGCTCTCTGCTTCTGTTTCTCCCTTTTCTATCTCTTTCCTAGGTCTGTTTTAAATTGTAAGTGTCAAGCCCCTGGGCTTGACATGAACTGGTGGGGAACGGGAAAGGAGCAGCCAGCGGCCAGCCGACGTCCGGGTGCTGACCACCTGGGAGTTGGCGAGGCCACCATGCACCGGCTGACTCCTGAGGACCAGTTGGGAGTCGGCGAGGCCGCCATGCACCACCCAACTCCCGAGGACCAGCTAGGAGTTGACGAGACCACAATGCACCGCGGCCGCCGGCCTCCATGTCGCCGGACGTCAGGGAAGTCCCAAACGCCAGCTGGGTGTCAGGGGCGAGCCAGCTGGATGCTGGAGGGACCGTCTCCCAACTCGGCTGCCTCTCTCTCTCACCGGGCATCAGGGGAGTCCCAAAACCCAGCTGGGCATCAGACGCAAGCCAGCCGGAGATCGGAAGGACCGCCTCCCACTGTGGCCACCTCTCCCTCTTGTTGGGCGCTGGGGGGGAATTCCCGGAAGCCAGCTGGGCGGCGGAGAGAACCAGCTGGACGTCGGAAGGGCGTATCCCGCCGCCACCGCCCCTCCTGTGCTGCCGGCGGTCGGGAGAGGGCACCGGTTGCCGCGGGGAGCCACTTCCCAGTGAAAGGGCATGGAGAAGTCTGTTGTAGTGCCACGCTGGCAGCAGGGAAGGAGCAGGACATTAGCTGATTGCCGGATAGGACAGCAGGACCTGCGGAGGCTGCGCTGATGCGTCCGGAGGGGGGGAAGGCGGAAATTGAACTGCAGCTTATATCAATACGGACTTGGCTTGCTGATTGGGGTGGGTTTGGAGGGTGTAGCACATCTATGTAAGGCACTGGGAGCAATCCACTCCCAGTGCTGACTTGTTCTTTTGCATACATTAAAGGTTTGCTGGTCACGTTGTTCCTGTGTAAAACATTACACCTCGTGCGGCATCAATTCTGGTGGCCTCGGGTTAAAGTAGACGTAGAGGCCTATGTGAAAGGATGCCTCGTCTGTGCCATGGCCAAGCCCCGTACTGGAAAGCCCATGGGCTTATTACAGACAGTAGCAGATCCAACCCGGCCATGGGAGGATATCACCATGGACTTTATCGTAGAATTACCAGGGCACAAACCCTTCCAGGTGGGCGATTGGGTGTACCTGTCCACCAAATACCAACAGTTGGGGGTACCCTTTAAGAAGCTGGGCCCCAAGTATGTAAGGCCTTTCCAAGTGATCCAGGTCGTGAACCCAGTTACTGTAAGGTTGCGACTATCTCGGGCCTTTGGGAAAGTGCACCCTGCGTTCCAGGGGAGCCTGCTAAAACTAGTGAAAGGGTCCCCACAGAGGCGAGTAGACAAGTTACCGGGCCCGGTCTCTGATGACCAGTATGAGATACAAGAGGTCCTGGACTCCTGGATCCGTCACAAACAGTTCCAATACCTAGTCAAGTGGAAGGGGTACCCTCTTTCGGAAGCATTGTGGGTGCAGAGAGAGCACGTCCACGCCCCACAGCTAGTGCGGGCCTTCCATCGCCAGCATCCTGGAAAATCGGGAGGTGGGGCTGCGGAAGGGTCGGCTGGAGTTGTCATACGCTCACCTGCCTCTGTTTGCCTTCTAGGAGGGGCCCTGGTAGAAGGGGCCACCTGTCAAGCCCCTGGGCTTGACACGAACCAGTGGGGAACGGGGAAGGAGCAGCCAGTGGCCGGCCGACGTCCGGGTGCCGACCACCTGGGAGTTGGCGAGGCCGCCATACACTGGCTGACTCCCGAGAACCAGCTGGGAATCGGCGAGACCGCCACGCACCGCCTGACTCCCGAGGACCAGCTGGGAGTCGGCGAGACCGCCATGCACCGCGGCAGCCTCCCTCCATGTCGCACACGTCAGGGAAGTCCCAAAAGCCGGCTGGGTGTCAGGGGCGAGCCAGCTGGATGCTAGAGGGACCGTCTCTTGCCTCGACTGCCCCTCTCTCTCTCACCGGGCATCGGGGGAGACGCAAGCCAGCCAGAGGTCGGAAGAACCACCTCCCACTGCGGCCACCTCTCCCTCTCATCGGGTGCCGGAGGGGGGGAATTCCTGGAAGCCAGTTGGGCGATGGAGACAATCAGCTGGACGTCGGGAGGGTGTATCCTGCCGCCGCCCCTCCTGTGTTGCCGGCGGTCGGGGGAGGGCGCCAGTTGCCGCGGGGAGCCACTTCCCAGTGAAAGGGCGTGGAGAAGTCTGTTGTAGTGCCATGCTGGCAGCAGGGAAGGAGCAGGACATTGGCTGGTTGCCGGATAGGACAGCAGGACCTGCGGAGGCTGCGCTGATACATCCGGAGGGGGGGGGAAGGCGGAAATTGAACTGTGGCTTATATCAATACGGACCGCATGATGGCTTGCTGATTGGGGTGGGTTTGGAGGGTGTGGCACATCTATGTAACGCACTGGGAGCAATCCACTCCCAGTGCTGACTTTTTCTTTGCATGCATTAAAGTTTTGCTGGTCACGTTGTTCCTGTGTTTCTGGAATTTGTCGGCAGCAGACAGAGGACAGTGGACCGTAAGGCCAGGGAAATGGGGCCAGGACCTGCACACCTGCTCTTTGCAAAATATTATATACATTATATACATTAATAATGATTGCAAATGGCTGATATCTCCCCCACCTTTGGTCCTGGCCAGTGAGTGGCAGAGAAAAAGCCATACGGCTGCATTTATTCAAAGGTCTCCATTCCTGAGATTCTTTTCCATCAATGAATGCCAGATGTCTGGGTTCTCCTGAAGGCAAAATGGAGCAACTACCTCCATCCCACCTCATAAAGAGTGGGGGGAGGGTCACTTGGAAAGATCTGGGAGGTTGGCTTTTTAAAGGGAGATCTCCCAGCATCCTCCCCTGTGCTCCTCTGAATTGGACAGCAGATGGGGGAGGATAAAAGGAATATTTATTTACATGCAGCTTGGATTTGGCTGGCAAAATTGCTTGCCAGGAAGGATGTGCTGGAAGCTATCTCAAAACATCCTTATGAGACTCCAATTCATTTTTTCATCAAGTCAAGCTTCTCTAGCTGCTGTTGCTTGCAGCTTTCTGGGGAACTGACTTCAAAGCAATGGGATGCAGGATACCCGGCAGCTGGCTGAGCTTCCCAAAGCACAGAGCACCTGAAGTGGTCCCACCCAGCTCACAGATCTTCTGGCCTCCTCTATTTGTTTCATGCCCCGCATGACAAAGCGGGTGGAGGGGTATAAGGAGATCTGGATTCAAATCCCATCTTTATTAAAGTTCTATGGACTGCCTTTACAATAGACCCATTCGCTGTCAGAGGAATCTGCCTTGCATAGTCTATAGATGAATGAAACTGGAAGGACAGAGCCAGTTTGGTCTAATGGTTTAAAGCACCAGGCTAGAAACTGGGAGACTGTGAATTCTAGTCCTGCCATAGCCATGAAAGCCAGCTTAAGTGACTTTGGGCCAATCATTCTCTCTCAGTCCAACTCACCTCACATGCTTGTTGTGGGGAAAAGGAGGAGGAGGGAGGTGTAGTGGATATGTTTGCCATCTTGAGTTATTTGTAAAAATAATAAAGGCGGGAATGAATGAATGAATGAATGAATGAATGAATGAATGAATGAATGAATGAAAATTCAGGCAAGCTTCAGCTTCTTGAGGGGAAAGATTTGATATGGTAATAATGACATTTTGTCTATTATGTTTTCATTGTAGTAATATTGTTAAAATGACAACAATATTGCTACTAAGGCAAAGGTTTCTTGGACTCATGGATTCCACAGAAGACTTTACAGCATGGATTGCTACACTTTTTGCCATCACCCCTCCCTTTAGTGCAATGTTAATATACACACCTTCCCTAAAAAAATCCAAGCACCAAAATGAATACAACTTGACAATGGAAACAGTACAACTGAACGTATGGGAAGGCTGGATTTACTGTAATTGTACACTAAAAAGTTCTTCACACTCCCCTGGGATTCTATCTGTATCTCTTCAGGGAAGATATACCTCACAGTTTGGGAAACACTTGAGAAAGTGTCACAAAAAGATGGTTTCTGTTGTAACAAGTGTACATGGCCATTTTCCCTCGGTAAAATAAATATTGTTTCTGTTGCTGTTATTATATCATTGACAAGCTATACATCAGTGATAGGGCAACACCTTTTGGAGACCCAGTACCAATAATTGGTGGAATCCTTGGACAGAGAAAGATGCTCTGTAAGATTTGGGACACGGTTTTTACAAGAAAGCATTATCAAATTGGTTAAAGCAATGTTTCTCGACCTTGGCATCTTTCAGACATGCGACGTCAACTCCCAGAATTCCCCAGCTAGTCGTGCCGGTTGGGGAATTCTGGGAGTTGAAATTCTCGCATCTTAAAGTTGCCAAGTTTGAGAAAAACTGAGTTAGAATATCTCTCTCTAAACTGGTACCTCTCCAGATACATTGGGATCATAATTCCTCAAATTATCTTTGTTAAAACTCCCAGAGTCACTGAGAGTGAGGTGGGCGGCCATATAAATTTTCTTAACTAAAGTAAGTAAATTAATTAAAAAAAAATTCCCAATAGCATCACCTTCCGTTTCTTAGAATTGCTGTCATAGCACATTTAGAGCAACACTAATTTGAGGACAACTGATCCACAGTGTTAAGATTTTTTTTTCTCTTTGTCTCCAAATATTAGATTCTTGGGTCATCCAATGGCAGGAAAATAATGAACTGAAGAAGACAAATCCATACTTAGGTCTATTTCAGGCTGCTGGCAATGATGATTCAAAGGAGACTGATTGTCTGGAATTAATCTACCTCTGAACAAAAGTTGTGGGAAGCGCAGCTACCCTCTCTCTATACTCAGTTATTCAGTTTGGACCTGATGCAACCATCTCTCCCTAGCAAAGACAAGACTGATACAATTACACTGAAACCTTCCCTCCAAATGCTGGCATATGGTTTAACAATAAGTCAGAGATGATTACTGCCCTCACAGTCAATTCTTGGGTTTCTTAGAAGCCCTTGGTTGTCCCATGTTTGAGCAAGAATGGTGGTTTAGATAAGTGTTGGCAATTAAGATGTGTGGACTTCAGTTCCCAGAATTCCCCAGCCAGCATGCTGGACTTCAGTTCCCAGAATTCCCCAGCCCGCATGCTGGACATGGAATTCTGGGAATTGAAGTCCACACATCTTAAAATTGCTAAGGTTGAACAACAGTGCTTTACATGAATCCGAGAAACTCTCAAAACAACAGGAAAGGAACTTTCTCTAATGGAAGGGCTGCAGTGAGACCTGACAGGAAACATCTTTTGGTCTTTCTACTTTGCAATTAAGAACTTTTGCTACACACAACCCCCCGCAAAGGCAACTGCTCCAGCCAACACCCTTCACCAAGGCCACATACCTATGTTGCTGTCTGCGACTCTTCTGCGAGGGTTGTTGGTGTATGGGTAGTACTGAGAGCTTCCCTTCACCCCCGTTGGGGAGAGCGTGCTGGGACTCGAAATCCCTATTTCGCTAGGCAGAAAGCCAGGCTGCAGAAACAAGAAAAACAAGAGTGCCCCATCAGAGCCTGAACAAATCTCAAATCTCTTGCTGAATATGGTTTTACAAAATGAGGAGGAGCCGAGTGCCAGGTGTGGACGCATGTGAGCAATACTGCCAGGTTTATATTCCTGTTTGGCTAGTCTTTGCCAACCTGGCAGAAATCCATCACAACGTTCCTCAATGATAACATCCGGGTAGGGTGGACTTCAACCTCTGCAACAGCACTGGGTTTGTAGTCCAAGGCACACAGTCCTATCCAGCAGGGCCAACAGGAAAGGGATGCTGGTAGTTGTAGTTTAGCAACCTCTGCTAGGCCACAGGTTCCTCATTTTTGGCCAAATGGTACTCTCCAGTTTAGGGACTAATTTCTACACAATATACAGATAGTCCTCAACATTTGTTTAGCGATTGTTCAAAGTTAAGACACTAAAAAAAGTGACATACAACTGGTCATCGCACTTACAGCCATTGTAGCATCCCCATGGTCACATGGTCAAAATTGGGGCATTTGGCATGCACTATATCAGGAGTCTTCAAACTTGGCCCTTTTATGATTTGTGGACTTCAACTCCCAGAATTCCTCAGTCAGCATGGCTGGCTGAGGAATTCTGGGAATTGAAGTCCACAAGTCATAAAAGGGCCAAGTTTGAAGACCCCTGCACTATATCATGGTGCAGCATCCAGGGTCCTGTGTTCACCATTTGCGGCCTTCCCAGTCAGCTTCCAACAAACCAAGTCAATGGGGGAAGCTGGATTTGCTTAACAACTTCATGATTCACTTAACAAGCAATGAAGGTCCTGGTCCCAATAGTGGTCATAAGTCGAGGACTACCTGTAATCTCCAGAGTCTGGCTCTTCCAGTGAAGGAGAAAATAAAGAGGAAAATAACCGCGGGTGGCAAAGACGATTTCCAGATCCATGTAAAACAGATCATGGCTGAACTGAGCAAAGGTCCATCTCATCTGAAGAGAGGCCTCAAATTAGTTTCTGAGCATAGAGGTTTCGCTGATTTGTGTATTAGTTGCAAAAGCCTTGTTTAGCAGATGTTGGAAAGAAGCAGGACAGCAATTCGCTCTATGCTTTGTGATGCTTCCCAAGACGTTGGGCCTGATGGGGCTGGAGGCAGGACACCAGGCTAAGAGCCGAGGTGGTGCAGCAGTTAGAGTGCAGTACTGCAGGCCACTTTAGCTGACTGTGTTCAGCAGGTCAGCGGTTCAAATCTCACCGGCTCAAGGTTGACTCAGCCTTCCATCCTTCGAGGTAGGTAAAATGAGGACCCAGACTGTTGGGGGCAATGTAAAATATATATACATTGCTTACTGGTGTACACCGCTTAGAGAGTGCTTGCACTTAAAGCGGTATATACCGTATATGCCGGCGTATTAGGCGACCCGGCGTATAAGACGACCCCCGTCTTTATAGCCGGGCCACATTCCTAGAACGTCGTCTTATACGCCGGAAACTACCAGTATTTCCGGCGTATAAGACGACTCGGCGTATAAGACAACCCCTGTCTTTGGCGCCGATTTCAGCGCTCGCGGAAGTCGTCTTATACGCCGGCATTTATGGTAAGTCTCATAAATAAATAAATAAATAAATGGGCTCTTAGTCTTTCTTCACATAAGTCTTTTATTACACTTCAATTACTTTCAGAATTCAGATACAAAACTGGTGTGATTAGAAAGTGCACATTTCATACATATCCAATGATGCTGAACTGGATCACATTTTGAATTCTTTAGGCATCTTAGCCAGCCCCTACTGGAAACAGAATTCTGGGCTGGACAAAACTGTTGGGTTATGGCAACATGGGTTTTCTTATAATCTGCTTACATATGATACTTAAGCAGAGAAATTTCCCTCTTCCACTGGCGTAGCAGCTCTCTAAATCAGAATACATATCTTTTGTGGGATCCAGATACAATTTGACCTTCCAGGAAGACATGGGAGGTCAGAGGCTGTTTTTTTTTAGGTGGGGGGAGGACTTAAGAGGAAATGGAAATGTTTTACTTTCTGGAGATCATCTGCTGTCAAGAAGGAAGGAAGGAAGGAAGGAAGGAAGGAAGGAAGGAAGGAAGGAAGGAAGGAAGGAAGGAAGGAAGGAAGGAAGGAAGGAAGGAAGGAAGGAAGGAAGGAAGGAAGGAAGGAAGACTTCCAGATGAGGTGAAGACCTGGCTCAAGCATTGGGCTAGGATAGAAATGAGCCCAGTCAATGTAGATTTAATGAGATGTTGTGGGGCTGTGTTGAGAAGTATGTCTTTAATGGAGTTTTGTGGGTTTGTCTATACCTTTGTTTTTATGAAATGTTGATATGAGCTACCTAGGATTATCATGTCTAAGATAGGGTTCCATATAAGTTTCCCAAATAAATACATAAGTAAGCAAGCAAGAGGGAGGATTTCCATTTTTAATTTTGAAGGAAAAAGAAAGCATTACAGGTAGTTCTCAACTTTCAACAACTGGGACCAGGATTTCCATTGCTAAGCAGTTCTAAGTTACGTGAACCACACCCTGATTGTAACCTTTTTTGCCCTAGTTGTTAAATGAATCATGTCGTTAAATAAATCCGGCTTCCCCCACTGACTTTGCCTGCCAAAGGACTTCTGGAAAGTTGCTAATGGTGATCACATTGACCCCAGGATACCGCAAACTTTGTAAATGCACGCTGGTTGCCAAGTGCCTGAATTTTGTTCACATGGCTGTGGGGGAATGCTGTGATGGTCATAACTGTGAGGATTGGTCATAAGTCATTTTTTTTCTAGTGCCGTTGTAACTACAAACATTCACTAAAGAAATGGCCGTAAAATTCTGGAGTGTCACAAATAAGCTGCCAAGATCGCGTTTTCTACTCTAACCATTCTACTCTAAGCTGCCCAGAGTTAGAGCAAGACGGGCGGCTAACAAATTTCACAAATAAATAAAGATTAGATGTGGGGATACAAATAATAAAGGGCAAGTGTTCCTTTTTTATGTCTTGCTTGAGGATCACCTGAGAAACATCTAGTTTGCCTCATCAGAATGTTTATCTCTACCAATTCTTACCAGACCAATAACTGGTAAGTGTTGGGGGGTGGGAAAGGAAAACTCCCTGTTCAAAAGCAGTCTACCATTAAGGCGCTGATGCTGGAAATGTTTAGACTGTGTCTCACCAATAATGTTGGATTTGGCAGGCCACTTTCCTAAGCAACTTACAAGCTATGCTTTCTTCCCCTTGATTTATGGTCTGCACAGCAAGAGCCTTGCTCTTCCCACTGATTCTTCCATTCATGACGTCACCCTTTCAATTATGCCTCTCTCCTCCGCCTACCAGAAAGCAAATTAAAACAACAACAACACAAGCAAACTCCAAACCCATACTATTTAAACACATGGCCGGCTGGCAAGTCTCCTGTTCTGTTTTTAAAATTACATCTATTTTGGCACCCATAGCCTTCCTCGCACATCTGCTTTGAAATTCAGCAGAAATATATATATATATATATATATAAATCCGCCTGTCTCAGAAGTTTTGGAAAAATTGGTCTAATGTTTTGAAGAAAAAAAACACAACGCTTTCTTCTTTCTCCTGCCACCATTTTAAGATGTTATCTTATTTTTCCTTTAGAAGAAAGGAAAGATTTACATGCAAGTGTGACTGCAGCACATTACTCACCGGTCATTCCAATTCCCAACCTAGCACGCTCCAAATGTGTTGGTTGGGAATAACAACTGTAATTCCCAGTTGACATACCCATTAGGAATGATGAGAATTATAATCCAAAATATTTAGAGAACATCAACCAGCAGGAATGACTAGCATAACTGTGAAACTGAGACGATCTCTCATTCATATTGTGCTTGATTCCTTCAATAAATCATTTGTCTAAACCAGGGGTAGGCAACCTTGGCTCTTTTATGACTCGTGGACTTCAACTCCCAGAATTCCTGAGCCAGCCATGCTGAGGGGAAAGGGAGAGGTTTCCAAGCTGAGCCATGCCGGCTCAGGAATTCTGGGAGTTGAAGTCCACGAATCATAAAAGAGCCAAGGTTGCCTACCCCTGGTCTAAACCATGGGTCTCCAAACTTGGCAACTTTAAGACTTGTGAACTTCAACTCCCAGAATTCCTCAGTCAGCCATGCTGTTGAAGTCCACAAGTCTTAAAGTTGCCAAGCTTAGAGACCCCTGATCTAAGCCTCATCTCTGTGACCACATAAATCATGAAGGATGAAGATCCAAGTCCGTTTAGCCCAGCATTCTGGGCAGACTGCAAGAAACCCACAAGGAGAGCCAAAGGATATCAGCTTACAGTGCTCAGAAACAGGCAGCTTTTACACTGTAGCAAAAAAGACTTATTTTTTCGATGGAGGGGGAGGGAAACACAAGGAAGTAGAGGCCAAAGGTATCTGAACATGGGAACGTAATGCAAACGAATAATAGCAGAGTATAAACAAGTAGCAGATCTAAAGACAGTCAAAACGATGGTTGTTACTTTCAAACTTTGTGTCACTCCATGAGTGAGATGGGTGGTCTCCAAGATAGATACATAGACAGACAGACAGACAGAGATGATATAGAGATAGATGATGGCTAGACAGACAGACAGATGATAGAAATAAATGATACATATATATATATATATATATATATATATATATATATATATATATATATATATATATATATATTATATGTTTTCTGAGGTTTTCGCGGGTATTTGTATGTAGGTCTTTGGTTGTTCCAAGACACTTCCAATTTTACGTGGGAGAAAACCCGAACAACCAAAGACCTACATATATATATATATATATATATATACATATATATATATATATATATATATATATATATACACACACACACACACACACACACACACACACACACACACACACACGGTGGTGGGATTCAGCCAGTTCACACCACTTCGGCAGAATCAGTAGCTAATTTTTTGTTGCCCAAGCGCAGAATGGACTTCCGGAAGTGTCATCCACAAAGAGAATTGGTTATTCACATATTTGAATCCCACAAATGGATATATAGCTATAGCTATACTGGTATATCGATATATAGATATAGATGGGATGGATAAATTCCATTTATGAAGCTGCCCAGATCCCGATCAGAGCCGAGAAAAACTGAATGCTGGATTAGCATGACTTGGTCTGATCTGGCACATCTCTTTTGGATAAACAGTGTAGGCTAAATTTGAAAGCCAGAGAGCTTCAGCGGTGAATTATGGATTCCCCCTTGGAGGCTGAAAGGTAGCTCTCCCTTGTGGACCTTTTCAAATGGGGAATAAGTAGCCCCACTCCTCCTGTTGAGGAATGATTTAGTGGTTTCCCGAAATGAGCAGGGGGTTTGGAGTAGATGACCTATATTAAGATCCCTTCCAATTCACATGTTCTGTAATGCACCCTAGAGAAAAAGTGAAGTTTCCTTATCCTGCTTATGAGAAAGAAAACAAACATCTCTTTGTTCTAAGATAGGAGTCCCCAAACTTGGCAACTTTAAGACTTGTGGACTTCAGCTCCCAGAATTCCTCAACCAGCCATGCTGGTTGGGGAATTCTGGGAGTTGTAGTCTACAAATCTTAAAGTTACCAACTTTGGAGACCCTTGTTCTAAGAGATCAAGACTTTGCTGAATAAATCTTTGATTAAAACATGCTTCAAATTAATTAATTAACTGAAATAAAAGAGCAGTGCTGCTTACCTGATTGATAGCTGGCATGCCTGCATCTCTTCCAAATGGGTAGTTGCTTCTTTCTGTACCTTTTCCTAGAGATCAAAAATCAGAGAGACAAAAGTCTGTCTGGGGAAATATTAGGATAGTTGAAAGCAAGTATGTATCCTGGTGATGGAGATTAATCTTCCAATTCTTTTCATCTTCCAATTCTGTTGCATCTTTTTATCAGACACTCTCAAAACCCAATTCAACTTTCTAAAAGTCAAATCAGGGTTAAAAATAAGACACAATTCAATAATACCTCAAGACAACCTATTTATGTACAGTGGGATTTCCCAACAGTTCCCCAACAGATGCTGATAAAGAGAATTTTCTATCTAGTCTCCCCTTCAATTAGCTGGGAGCAAATCGGAAGTGTTGGAAAACTACCACAAATGGAGACATAAGTCAGAATATAGGGAGAAAACAAAGATTTTCCTCATCTGCTGGAGCCCTGTAGATAATCTTGTTGGAAATCCAACATCTCGGGATGTGCAACATTTTGGAATTGAAGCCAGAAATTGCTTTGCAACAGTTGGCGCATCCCTTAAAAAGTGCTTGATTTCCCAGGCTTGCATTTGTGCTGCAGGATTGCAGGAAAATATACGTTTTAGTTTAAGGAGGTAGCAACAGCACACCCTGAAACAGCTTGTTGCATATCTGGATAACTCAAAAGGATATTTTCCTGGCTGCTATATGAACTCCCAAAACAGACACAGCTTCTCAGAGGAAGCGCTGATGGTCTTGCAGCCGTATCTGTGGCACATCTTCAATTTTGGATTCAAATCATTGCACTTTCCTACCAACAACCAATATTTTAGATCTTCTCAAACCAGCCTTATTTATTTTTATTTATTTATTCAATTTCTACAGATTCCCATCTCAATGACTCCTGGTCGGTTACAATCCAAAAACATAATTAAAACACTAAGAACATCTTAAAACAAAATAAATGTACATAGCTGAGATACTTAGCCAGTTAGCAATAAAATTAAAATAAAGCAAAATAAATTTAAAAAGATTAGTGGTGCTTTTTTTCAGAAACACAAGAAGTAACATCCTCTCTCCCCCCCCCCACACACACAATTCCTGCAGTATAAATTTCTAGTTGAGAAGATCTCTCCATACTTCAGCTGAAAATATCCCATTCTCTTTATATTCTAGCTGGGAAGATTCCTATCCTCTCCATTTTCTAGTTGAGAAGACCCCCATTCTTTCCACATTCTAGCTAAGAGAAGACCCTATCTTCTCCATATTCTAATCTAGGTGAAAAGATTTGATCTTTTCCATATTCTAGCTGAGAAGACCTCCTTTCATATAAGAACTCTTCTATGCTTCTTCTACATATTACATCAATAAAGCATTATTATTTCTGTAGCCCTGGGTAAAAGTCCAGATCCTATCTGAGACATGGATGAAACATCTTGTAACCATACCTCTTCCCTCTGCTAAAAACACCCAGTTCCCTCTATGCGAAATCTTATAAGGAAATGAAATAAAACATTTTTCACTGGGCCCCTTTATTCTAGAAACAATGTTTTATACTCAGACAGGATGTTTATGGGGCCTGGACGTAACATTAGACATACATTTTACACCCATGGGAAAGAATGCATGCCAAAGTCACCCTCTCACTGATGTATACACACTCATACAAACCTCAGCTTGCACTTATGGAGATAAGAATAAAACTGTTCAGTGTTGTCTTTTTTAAAAAAGGCAAGAAAGCCAGGGTAATGCTTTACTTTCACCAGTTTTCACAATCTCCCCAGTATCTGCCTTCTTTTTCCTTTGTTAGGCCCCCAGTTCCCCTCTCCAAATTAGCTTGCAGTCATTGGTATTTCTCACTACTTTTAAGATTTTCATCCTCCAAGCAATGTAATCAGGGCAAAATGCCGTGCCAGTCAAAAATACCACAAGGATTCAGACCCAGCTTTTTCCTTGTCCAATGATCTTGTCAGGATTGTAGATTGCAATCTCCTAACTGTTTGCTGGCTGAACCCCTTCATTCCATCTAATTCAAAGTTTGTTTTGGGTAGCAGCCAGTTAGTCTTGGTGGAAAGAGGGGGCTCAGAAGCAAGATCAGCCTTCTAACTCTCCAGCTGCTTTCCTACAGGAGGATCCTCTGAATTATCCAAATTTCCGACCCTCCTTTCTGCATCTTCCCCCAGCTTCGTGGGCATTTGTTTCAAGACCCAAAGGTGTTTTTTCCAAAGGCAACTGTACTTTGTTTTTCCTTGAAGACGTTTCGCTTCTCATTCAAGAATGAGAGAAGTGAAGAAGCTTCTTGGATGAGAAGTGAAATGTCTTCAAGGGAAAACGAAGTCAGGTGGCCTCTTGAAAAAGCACCTTTGGAACAACCCTGACCTGGATGACAGAGAATCTCCATAGACTTTTGTTTCAAGACTTAGAGGCTGTTGGACTTTAGCATATGAATGTGTCTCAGAGCTCAAATTATTTCAGCTAAGGTAGAAGGGACGGCAGAATCTGGGGAGGAGTGAAAAGGGGGATCAGCCTAGAATCCCTACGTAGCCATAAGAGAACGGAATCCAGTCCCCTTTAAGTGCCATTGACTCTTTTCTAATTTTAAGCAGGTATCTACTGTTAGTTGAGAAGATTCCTGTGCATGGGCTTTTAGCAAGAAAAAATTCCTGTGTGTAAGTTTCTAGCACAGTGGTTCTCAACATGTGGGTCGGGACCCCATTTGGGGTCGAATGACCATTTCACGGGGGTCGCCAAACAACGCAGTCCGCCATTTCCCCCCCCCCTTTTCCTTAGTTGTGCTACTCCCTTTTATTCTATTGGCTTTTGAAAGCCAATAGAATAGACTCTCTTGAATAGAGTCTAATTCTATTGGCTTTCAAAAGCCAATAGGAATTGTCCAGGCTGTCTCTGCCCTGCTGAGCCCGCCAAAAGTCCCATTCTGCAAACGGTGCTGCACCAGTTGAGTAGTCCTCGACTTACGACCGGTTGAGTAGTCCTCGACTTACGACCGGTTGGGGGTCGCGGCATTAAAAAGGTTGAGAACCACTGTTCTAGCAATTAAAGATTCCTGAGCATAGGCTTTTAGCAAAAAAAAACAAAAAACAAAAAAAACCTCAGTTTATTGAAACTTCGCCTGTGGACCTGGTCTTTCACACCTGACAACTACTCCTCCCCTGCTGAAAGAAAACTCACACTAAAATAAATGTCATTCACATGAACGCAAACAGTTGGCTCGGACCCTCTGGCCCCCATCTGGTTCAGCTGCCTGTTCTCACCATGGTCCACCACCTGCACCAGGAAGCCAACCAGTCTCCCAGCAGATGTCCTTCAGAGGCGGTCATCCAGCCGATCAAGGCTGATCCCGACTTTTCTCAAATGTACACTGGAAAACCTGGGATTGATGGAACACTTTTCAACAGCAAGCAGGCATTATGCCACGCACATTCCCATTCATTTGAGAGGCTTAGCATTAAGTAAACAGGAGGTCAAAAGGTTGTAGGGCGAAATCTTTTAACTGACCTAATTTTTTAAAAGCGGTTTAGGAACTAATTTTGCCATATGACTGCCCTCATTCTCCTCTCCGCCCCCGCCATCCCCCCCCCCACAAAAATAGCCCTGGTGGGGTTTTGTTTTTTTTTTGCCACTGTGCTGACTTGGGTTAAACCACAACAGAGAAGTTCAGGAGCATTTGAAAAGCAAATGGCAAGATCCTTTCTTTCTAAGGTTAGAGCTTCTGTAGCTGTGCACAGGAATTAATCTTGACAAGATCAGGATGAGAGTGGAGGTAAATGAGTGCGTATGGGGGGAAATTTTCCTCTTTCTCGGCTCTCTTATCCTGGGGGGGGGGGAAAGGACTTTAGAAATTAGTTCTTGGCTAAGAGTGAGTCCAATGGTTTTTTTTTAATCAGCTGGCACGTGTTTGCTAGTAAATCCAAGTTAATAAGGTAGCCCTTGACTTACGACCATAACTGAGTCCAAAATTTTTATTGCTAAGCAAGACATTTGTTAAGCATGTTTTGCCCCATTTTATGACATTTTGTGCCACGATTGTTAAGTGAATCACTGCAGTTGTTACATTAGTAACATGGTTGTTAAGTGAATCTGGCTTCCCCATTGACTTTGCTTGTAAGAAAGTTACAAAAGGCGATTACATCATGCTGAGACACTGCAACTGTCATAAATATGAGTCAATTGCCAAGCATCCATTTTGATCACGTGACCGCAGGGAATATTGCAACGGTCATAAGCGTGAAAAATGATCGTAAGTCACTTTTTTCAGTGCCGTTGTAACTTTGAACTATCACTAAATGAACTGTTGTAAGTTGAGGACTACCTGTATTATTTTTGTAGCTAGGCATTTGTGGAGACAAATTAGATACATCAAGCATTTCCAGTGCATTAATTTCCCCCTGTATTTTAGCAAAAAGGAATAAGGGAGTGGGCATAATGTACAGATAGACCTCAACTTACAACCACAACTGACTTCAGAATTTTGGTTGTAAAGTTTTTGTGGTTGTTTAGCAAGTTACCACGTGACCAAATTCTATTTTATGATTACTGTATTTTTATAATGGTCGTAAAAAAAGTCACAGCAATCAGTAAGCGAACCACAAGGTTGTTAAGCAAATCCAGTGTATCAAATGGGAGGGTTTTTTAAACCGTTTTCTGCTATAAAACAGCAAAAAATATTGTAAATTGCAGCCACGTGACTATAGGATGCTGCAACTACTTTACTATTATTATTATTATTATTATTATTATTATTATTATTATTATTATTATTATGCAAGCCCGTTGCCAAGTGCCTGAAATGCAATCATGTAACTAGGGGTAAGGGGGGAGGCAGTTGTAACTTCAAGTTAGGTCTTAAGTAGGGTTTTTTAAAGTCTGTCATAACTCTTTGGTTGTTAAGTCATTGGTAAGTTGAGGATCACCTGTATCCCTAAAAATAGCAATAGCACTTAGACTTACAATATATATGGCTTCACTGTGCTTTACAGCCCTCTCTAAGCAGTTTACAGAGACAGCCTATTGCCTCCCAACAATCTGGGTCCTCATTATACCACCAACCTTGGAAGGATGGAAGGCTGAGCTGGTGAGGATCAAACTGCTGGCAGTCAGCAGAATTAGCCTGCAATATTGCATTCTAACCACTGCATCACCACAACTCTACATTTTTCAACATTTTTGCAGCCAAATTTCAAAAATACAATTTTGATAAATTCCTGGAGCTATAAAATGGGAAGGGAATACTCATAATCCACATACAATCTATGCCCACTGAGTCTCATATGTCTTTTTTTGGCTGGAAATGGGAAAGAACATTTACACGGCAAACATTTTAATTGAAGCTTATATAATTCTTACATCTCTCAGTTCTATAGAGCTAGAAAACAATAATACACTCAAATCCGTAGTTTTGTGAATTCAAAAAAAATTGTGTTATTTGGGCAAACCCAGCCCTTAGTGAGAAATGGCTTCCAAAGAATGCAACTATTGGGAAATTGCATGCAAAAGTAAAGTTCAGTATTAAGGAAAAAAATTCATGCCAATTTTAATGCAGTCTCCCTTGAAAATTCATAAATTGGGGAGGAAACCCAGCAAAAATAACCTTAAGACTGGGGAGATAAGTTAAATGGAAGTTGTCAGATTCTCTCATTATAACTCTACTGTATGACTCCTTTTCAAAGCTTTTGGGAGTAAATTAAAATACAAACTTATTTTTCAAATAAGTATGAAATGGAAATAACAAAGGACTAGCACACCAACCAAATCATGATTAAATAAGAAATCTGAACCATGTAAGGGCCATTAATATACAAATATACAGATCATGGATGGGTCATTATTGCAAAGAGATGGTCAAAATAGAAATTCTGTGAGGTTTTGCCTGCAGGGATTTCTTGATTATGACACATAACAATCCTGAATCATTTCTGCAGAGTTGCAATATGATTGAGGTAATGGCCCCTAGCTGCATGCATACCGACACACAGACACACGCTCACACACAACATTTAGAGCTGCAACCAATGGACCAAATTAAAGCCAAGCTGGAGAGGAAGAGGGAGAGGGAGAGGGAGAAAGAGAGAGAGAGAGAGAGAAAGAGAGAGGGAGGGAGAGAGAGAGAGAGAGAGAGAGAGAGAGAGAGAGAGAGAGAGAGAGAGAGAGAGCGCATGACATCCTGGCTTTAGGATATCTTTCTCCATTTGACAATGGATTTCATCAGTGAAGAACAGGTGTGCTTCACACAGGCAATTTGCTCACCGTACTGGGAGTTTACACATGGATGCCTTCAAATCAGGCCTGCTGCTTAGACATGATCTGAGGCTGGGGAGAAGAGAACTGCAGCCACTCTCCTTCTTTGCCCCCTGCCACCACCTCATTTCGTAATACAGGTAGTCCTCGGCTTACAACCATTTGTTTAGGGACCATTTGAATTTACAATGGCAATGAAATAAGTGGCCTATAACCATTTTTCTACCCTTACAACGGTTAAAGCATCCCCATCGACACATGATCAAAATTCAAAGGCTAGGCATATGAAAACTTTTTGTTAAGTTAGTAACAACCGTGTTACTAACTTAACAACTGCAGTGATTCCCTTAACCACTATGGCAAGAAAGGACGTAAAATGGGGCAAAACTCACTTAGCTACTGTCTTGCTTGGCAATGGAAATTTGGGGCTCAGTTATGGTCGTAAGTTGAGGACTGCCTGTATACTAAAAGCTAGCATGTTTTCAAGTGCCAGCTATTATAATAGCAATCACGTATCTGTTATGGCTTGATTTCAAGTAAGATAGCGAGCACTATCAAAATGCCCAAAGAGCTACTTGCTTCAGTCCCAGGACCTTTCTCCCCTGCCCGCAAATAACTTTTAGAAAGTATGATAAAATCTACACCGCTACTGTATAAGGGTGGTCAGTAGAAGTACATATGAAACAGAAAACATGTCTAGCTCTATGCATGGAACTAATATATTATGCCTTGTAAAGCAGTTGCCTTATCAGGAAGAAGGTAATGTTGAATTTTGACTGCATCTCTAAAGGATGCCTGTTTCTGAAAGGGTTAAGAATTGTCAACAAGGAGACAGATTGGCTGGAGGGGGCAGAGAGGAGAGAAGGCAATTAATCCAATTAGTAGGTTGGAGAAATTCAGAATTCCACATCTACTTGTCATAGGCCTTGCACAGAGACACACACACACACACACACACACATGTATATATACATACACACACAAACACGTATGTGTGTGTGTGTGTGTGTGTGTGTGTGTGAAGTTTTTGGCTGCACTCCAGTCAAAGGAGAATCACGATTCAAACAAGCTTAACTTGGGTTAGCAATAACCATGATTTTGTTGCCTTCACTCTAAAGCAGTGGTTCTCAACCTTTTTATACCGGCGACCCCGGTCATAAGGACATGCCGCCCCCATGCGCGGCGCACATGCGCGGTGCCGCCAGCTGAGGAAAAAAATGGCGGATCGCGTTGTTTGGCGACCCCCGTGAAATGGTCATTCTACCCCAAATGGGGTCGCGACCCACAGGTTGAGAACCGCTGCTCTAAAGTAAGGCTTTCAATGTATCATGCAAACAAACTATGGTTTAGTTAGCTATGCCTAGTATGTTGCTGACACTAAAGAATAACTATGCAAATATGCAATTTGTTAGCTCTCAGTCAGAGAGGGAGAGAAGCTACCTTACCTATGGGGATTTTTTTAAAAAAATATGTTTAACTATGGTTGGCATTCATTGGCTCATCTACATAAAATGCTATTTGTTGGTGCTTGACTTTCCATAATCAATGAGCCTGCCTATTGCTGTTTTTCACATGCTGTGTAAATTAACACACTCTGGATCTTTTAACACACAATGGTTAAGAAATCCTGGCTTAGCATTATGTAAGGACACAGCCAATGTAATCCTAGGCACAAGCAAACTCCAACATTTTAGTATCTTGGCCAGAACACCCCAAACAGCTTCCGGTTCAGAGGATTAACTTCCAGAAAAAATGCCAGACTACCCCAAGGCAGCCAGACTGGCATTCAGGAGAAAGATGCAATGTTCTTTTGTGTACCCCCTGCCCTCCAAATCGCCCACATGTCTCAGCTGGGGGCCAAACATGAACATGTGGATATTTCAGGCCATGGTTCAGGGAACATAAAGGGTTTCCTTCTCACTGTGGCATTTGGAAGAAAAATGGGACTTTCAAAATCAATCATTCTATTAAGTATATAATTTCTAGCAAGGGAACAGAGGAGGAAAGATAACATGTTGAGATTAAAGGCAGTTGGGAGGGAGGAGCGGAAGACTGTGAACCGATTAAAAACCATTGTCCAGGATGCACACCAGTTACAATGCTGGCTAGATTAGCAAGCTTAGCCCTGAAAAGGAGTTAATTGCTAGAAATAATTACTTGAAAGAGATCTACTCAGGCGGTTAGGTTTCCTTCTTAACAGTTAAATAATTCCCACCAATCTCATTGCTTTCCTTCCCTACTGTTGATTAATTCACAAATACTTTCAGGAGGTGTGGGGGAGGGGGATCAGTTAGAGTACCTCAAAAATGTGAGCCATGTGGCCTTATATGTACAAACACCGCTTCTAAAGGAGAATATTTGTAGCTTAGGGTTAAAATGAGGGATGCTTGGTGCTGTCTGAATTTGGTTGTTCTCTTGCAGACATTTCATTACCCAAACTAGGTACAGGTAGTCCTCAACTTATAACAGTTCATTTAGTGACCATTCAAAGTTACAACAGCACTGAAAAAGGGACTTATGACCGTTTTTCACACTTACAACCGTTGCAGCATCCCCAGGGTCAAGTGATCAAAATTCAGATGCTTGGCAACTGACTCATATTTATGACTGTTGCCATGTCCCAGGGTCCTGCGATCCCCTTTTGCAACCTTCGGACACGCAAAGTCAACGGGGACGCCGGATTCACTTAACAGCCATGTTACTAATTTTACAACTGCAGTGATTCATTTAACAACTGTGGCAAGAAAGTTCGTAAAATGGGGCAACACTCACTTAGCAAGTCGAGGAATATCCGTGACATCACCACTGTTGATGATGTTACCTGGTCTGGGTAATGAAATGTCTGCAAGAAAACAACTAGACTCTGACAGCACCAAGGACCTTCAGAAATGGCCTTGCAAGAAAAGTGATGCTACTGGCTCCATTTAACTGGAAGCAGCCAAAAAAACCTCCATTGTTGTTAAATAGGCCCGCAACAATTCTTATGAACGTAAGGATTCTCTTGATCCCGAGCAAGATCGACTTTTCCCATTCTTCCAACACATGATGCAAAGGAATCAGGAAATGGTGATGGCTGGGAGACAAGTCAAACCAGGACTAACAACCAAGGTGGTCAAGAAAGCATCATCAGAAAGCTGATGAGATGACAAGGAAGAAAGCAGGTAAGTTCTACTATCATCTATCTTTGTACTTAAAATCAAACAGGACCAGTCCCATTAAATACAGCAGTCATTTTGCCCGTGGGCAGAGCTCCAGATGAGCAAAATTTTTATGGTGTCAAGACTTGCTCCAAGCAGGGACACTTACCTACTATTCCAGACCCCAGGAATGACGACGAAGTTATGCTGTTATGGGATGGCAGGTCCCTGTGTTCACTGTAGTGTGAACCTTCGCCATAACCCTGCTGTAAGGAAAACAAAAATAGCCACCATTTGCACAAAGTCATGAAGCACACTGCCTACCCACTCCTGTCTCAATCAACTAGACCAGGGGTAGTCAATCTTGGCTCTTTTATGATTCGTGGACTTCAACTCCCAGAATTCCTGAGCCGGCATGGCTCAGCTTGGAAACCTCTCCCTTTCCCCTCAGCATGGCTGGCTCAGGAATTCTGGGAGTTGAAGTCCACGAGTCATAAAAGAGCTAAGGTTGCCTACCCCTGAACTAGGCTAAGGGTATCCCATAACCATTTCCAAATCAAAATATACTTTTAAAATTCAATTTAGTTGGCTCTTATAAAGGCCAGCAATCTTGGCATGGATCAAATCGACTCCAACTGACTATCAAACTGTTTCTATATACTCTCATTTTCCAAGTTTTGATTTTTTTCCCTTCTGCTCAATCATGCCCGATTCTCAAAGACTGCCTGGACAACAAGTCCCTGAAGTTTTTTTGGCAAGGTTTTTCAGAAGTGTTTTGCCATTGCCTCTTTCCTAGGCTGAGAGAGAGAGAGAGAGAATGATTGGCCCAAGGTCAAGCAGCTGGCTTCTTGCCCAAGGCAGGACTAGGATTCACAGTCTCCCAGTTTCTAGCCTGATGCCTTAAACACTACACTAGACAGGCTCTCAGCTGAAGTGGTGCAGAAGTTAAATAAGTAAACACACTTCCCTTAAGGCAGTGTTTCTCAACCTTGACAATTTTAAGGCATGTGGACTTCAACTCCCAGAATTCCACAGCCAGCATTGCTGGCTGTGGAATCCTGGGAGTTGAAGTCCACATGCCTTAAAATTGTCAAGGTTGAGAAACACTGCCTTAAGCCATGCTGCATCAGGGTTATGGAGGGAAGTGAGGAAAACACAACAAAACGTCAGCACATTTAGAAAGTCTCCATCATAAAAGGCGGAATCCACCTCAGAGTGAGATGGGCGGCTTCTAAATTCCATAACTAAATAAATCTGTTGCTCTCCAGAACAGAAAAGGTTCTGGAGAGATCATTATCTTCACCTGCTATTATCATGGGAAAGAAAATAAGCCAAATGTAGTTCAAAAAAATGGATGATTAATGTTGGAAGGAAGACAGATCAAACTCAAAAACAAGATGACCGAAGAATTAACTCAGATAGCTAAGCAGAACCTTAAATTCATGGAAATCTTTTAAGTGTGTATCAGCCATTCCATTAGGCTCCATGGAATAAACCTCAACTTTGTTAAAATACCAATTCCTACTTCAGGCTATGTTTTTCTCTCGACTGCTTCCATTCCAGCAGATCATTTTATGACCTGAACTTAGCTTGAACTGCAATAGAATTTTAAGAATAGATTCTTAAGTCTGTCTTTCATCTTCCTTCTTCATTCCTTTTTCTTTCTGTATTAGACTATAAGCTGAATGAGCAGCACCAATTTTACATTATTGTATGTAAGCAGGTCTGGGAGCTCCAGGAGTAAAGAGTAAGGTTAAAAAAAAATTCTTTAACTATGTTCCTGCTAAGCATATACAAACAAGAAGTTTGTTGTTTTCACCTCCTGCTTGTAGATCAGTTTCCTATAGGACATGTGACTGGATGCTCTTACAAAATAATTCCTTAAAATTAGGTTTGATTCCTCAAAATTAAATAGCTCAGCAAGAATTAAGTTGAGAGGAAAGTTACTTTTCCTATATTTTCAGGAAAAAAAGGAATTAGAGTGGAATTAGACACATGTGGCCAGCCCCCAAAGATCCATTTGCATCTTGCAATGAACAGATCTTCCTGATCCTTACCCTGACTTGGTCAAACGTGGAATTGTTCTGATCTCCTGTTGCCCAAGAACCTGAGGTCGGTCGCTCATCCAAACCTTTGGGGGAAAGAAGAAGAGAAAAAACAAAGATTACTTTGATCTACAGGATCTTCAAAAGACAGACTCTCTCAAAGTTAACTCTTCCTTTCACAAATACAAAAATATTTGGATGAAAATCCCAAACCAACACTGACTTTTCCTGTTTTGCAAATTTTCCACACAGATTCAGCTTCAAAGGAACCTCAGTTGATATGTTTGGCAAAATTGTGAGAGGGCAAATTTTATTTAATATTGGTAACACTTCAAGAGGGTTGTAACACAGACAACTTACCTTCCCCAAAGCTGCTTTGGCTAGAGCAGGGCTCCCCAACCCCGGGTCCATGGACCAGCACTGAGCCGCAGGATGCCAAAAACTGGCCTGCACAAACAAGCAAAGCCCCATCTGCGAGATGCAGGCAGCATGCAAAACCATGCCCCCTCCAGTCCACGGAAAAACCTCTGTCCATGGAACCGGTCCCTGGTGCCCAAAAGGTTGGGGACCTCTGGGCTGGAGGAACATTACGGGAATGGAAGTGGAAAAATTCAGGATACTCAAATTATGAAGGGGGGTCGGTGGGAAGGAAGCAGTTAATGGAATAAATTATTTTCTTCTCTTAGCCAAACCTAATTGGTCCATCATTTATGTTATATAAAGAAAAGAAGCCATAAGTGGTCCAGAATGAGACATATTGGTGGCGGCACCTTGGCGCTGCCATCTTGCCATGGCCTTGTCACCATGGCTATCTCGTCGTGGCCATCCCGGCACTGCCATCTCAGTGCAGGACAAATCACCATGGGAAACTTGCCATGGGCAACTTGACACCTCCCTTCACAGGAGGCGGTTGTGAACCACAATGTCGCAACAGGCTGCGTCTCCAGATCAGGGTTCAGCCTCTAGCAGGCTGGCAATTTGTCCCACGCTGAGATGGCAGCGCTGAGGTGGCTCCATTGAGGTGGCCATGATGACGTGGTCGTGGCAAGATGGCCACACTGAGGTGTCATAGATGTCATAGACCCTGGTCATCATCGAGAAAGACTTTCCTCTTTTGCTGACATCTCCATCTCATTTCAGCCCTGATTGAAATTTACCTGCTCCCGGATATGGAATGAGGACCCCCAAAAGCAAACCACCTTCCCCAGAAGTCTGAAGAAATGTTGCAGCAAAATAGACCTCTTTATTTCTCATCCACACAGAGATTTAATTCCTGGTGTTTCTTATGGAAGTTGTAGCACAGCTGCAGATTACAGATTCCGGGAAATGGTTATGGACATCTGCTTGGGAAAAGCTTTCTTAGGTCTCGCTGTGGTAATATATACATTCATGAACACTATGAATTGTCCATTCCAACTGAGAATTCTGGGAATTTTAGTCCCGATGCATCTCGAGGCTGCCAAGTTGGGGAAAGTCCAACTCAAATACTGACATAAAGTACAAGAAGGATCAAGAATGTACTCCTGGCTTCCCTGCAGAGGAAAATGGCTTGAGATGAGCTAACTGCCTTTTGAAGAAGCTATTCCACTATTTTTGGTCTCCTTAGACTAGAGCAGTCCCTCCCTCTCAAGTTGCCCAGTGTTTTTGTATGGGAACAGGGTGAATTCTGCAAATAAATAAATAAGCAAAGTCCCTACAAAATAGGATGTCAATCCTACGCTGGTCTCCTCCCTTTGAACAATTGCAGGCAATTAGGTCAGAAGACCGTTTTAGTCCTGTTGTAGGAGACAAGGCTGAGCCCGAGGGGTCAAATGTGTTATTAGTCTCGAGTCCCTTCAGGCTCACAAGGGATCTAAGTCCAGCCCACCTTGAATTCCACTGACTCTTATCTACCGCCAATTTGCTTTAGCTGCTAGTAGTTCAGATTCTTGTAGAAAGCTTTAACATACAATAAACCTGTATATTTATTTGAACTTCCTGGACTCCTGATTTCCTGCGCTTCACACCTGCTCTAATATGATTGCAAATCAAACCATGTCTGGAACAAGACTGTCCCCTTCCATGTCCAAAATATTACTGGCAGGGAATGTTTTATGTGTACAATGGCATTTTTCCTTTCCAATAAGATATTTCCACTCCTTGACTGATGCTGAAATGAGAGATCTGGAAATCAGCCAAGACCAAGATGGCAAACCAGCTTCATTTGGAGATGGTGTCCATCTTAGCACGATTACTTTAATTTCATTTTATGCTCAGATTGTAACTACATCTCTATCATCACAAGGAGGCTTTGTAGTCCAACTCTACTATGTTTGTATACGTGGATTTTTTAAAGCATATTATTATGAGAAACACAGCATCTTTTTCTCTCCTTCCCTCTCCCTACTGTTCATTTAACCAGAAATTTCTTTCAAAATTACATGCTTCCATTCCAAAGCCTTTTGTGTTAATCATTTCCCTGGAGAATTGGTGTTTAATTGCTGTCTAATTTGCATAATTATGCATATTAATCTCCACTCCTAATGAATATTCATAAATCTCATTTAGAGTTTGTTTTCTAATAAAAAAAATTCCAATCTGATTACGTTGCAGGATTGAGCCTGGCGATGGAGTAAGATGCTTAATGCAACTACAAAAAAACACCATAGTGCTACCTATTTTTTTCAAGGCTGGCAATACTGCAAATTTTGCTCTGCATAATGTTTTACTTCTTTCTTCCCATCCTGCTCTTTTAGAATAGTATCAGGTGTTTTCTGGAACTGGTGAGGGTGATCAAACCAAAGTATATTCCACACAGACATACACAAAATTTAAAAGGTAGGAAAGGCGATAGTGTTCAAAGACTGTTTGCAAAATTAACAGAATAACCAAGTTGGAAGGGACCTTGGAGATCTTCTAGTCCAGTGGTTCTCAACCTTTTTAATGCCGCGACCCCCAACTGGTCGTAAGTCGAGGACTACTCAACCGGTCGTAAGTCGAGGACTACTCAACTGGTGCAGCACCGTTTGCAGAATGGGACTTTTGGCGGGCTCAGCAGGGCAGAGACAGCCTGCACAATTCCTATTGGCTTTTGAAAGCCAATAGAATTAGACTCTATTCAAGAGAGTCTATTCTATTGGCTTTCAAAAGCCAATAGAATAAAAGGGAGTAGCACAGCTAAGGAAAAGGGGGGAAAATGGCGGACTGCGTTGTTTGGCGACCCCCGTGAAATGGTC